TCTTCAGGACGAGCTTCCCACAAGTGGAAGGGTAGGAGCAGGGTGTAAGAGTTGGCATGGAGCAAGTAAGCCCTGGCTGCTCCTGTGCTTAGCAAAGCAGAGAGAAACGTGGAAAGGGAGAACAGGAAAAGTGAGAAGAAGTTGGGAGGAACAGGGAATATGATTTGGTTGATAGCACAGTGCAGCTACACAGCTGTTTGGTCCCGTGCCACAAAGTCAGCAGCAAAACACTCAGTACCCTGTGCTATGGGCACAGAGGGCAGGGCACCTTCAGATGAGGCTGGAATGCACACGTGGACTGCTCACTACTATCAGTTTATACTAATACACGCACACTGGGGCAGACACAATGTTCTGCATTTCCAAAATAAAAAAGAAAGTAAGAAATGGTAGAGCTACTGAGTATTTTTTAAATATAATGGCCAATTCTCATGATTCGTGGAACCCCAAAACCAATTCCAAAATTAACCGTCTGTAACCACCAGTGAGCAAAAATCATGACACAAGGGATTTATTGTTTATGTACTTCATACTAATGCAAGGGATATATTTGTTATCAGTACACTATGGGATACAGCATTAAAATAAACCAGCCTGCAGTAAACTACACCCTTTAGGCTTCACAAATATTGCCAGCAGGTATCCTGGTGCTTTGTCTGCCTGCATTTACTTCTCTTTTGTAAATACAAATATTTGGTTAAGGCATCTGCTCAGTCAAGAGCTGTGACTGCTGATCCAGGTAGAGGTTTTCAGACCTGTACACAGAAGCAGCCCATTTAAATGACTGCAGATACAGTTCACCATCAGGTTTATTCTTTACACATTTACGATGATTCGCAGTCATTGAACCAGTACTAAGGTTAGATACTTGTACTTGAAAATGAAACCTGTGACTTGTTTAGAATAGAATTTAATAAAATGCTGAAAATGTAAGATAGGCTGTGTTACTTTTAGGTTCTGATTATTCTTATTATCAATACTTGGAACTGTTTGGAAAACAAATACAATATTTTGTAATTAGACCCCTTATCTATGAAAGTACTTGAGCAACTGTATAATGGAGCATATGAGTAGTCACTTTAATGAAATTACTACTTATATACATGAATTATCCACTCATTTTAAGTGATTTGCTGGATCAAAGCCTTTCTGTTACAATTAGAGCAGCAGAGTTAAAATGACAGTAACTCCAGTTTGGAGAAAATAACAGACCAAAGGAACTGCATCATAAAGATATTCCCAGAGAGGAAAGGGAATAAAAACTATCTGTAGGAAGTGTACATATAACTACACCACATCAAGTATAACAATCTGTTCAATTTTTTTTTACCTAGAAGATTCAAATAAATTTAATTTCAAACCTTTCAAGAAAACTCTCCACTAGTTTGGTCTATATGTGGACCGAAGATTTTAATGCTCCAAAAACTTGGACAAATCCCACTATTTAAAATACCACTATTTAAAATACCACTTCTGGTTTTTAACTGAGGTAAACAGAATGCATTATAAATCTCCAACATAGCCTATTGAAGTGTCAGAACAGCTTGTTCAAAGCAATACATTCACTTCTGAAAGATTTTAGTATTATAATCGAAAATTCTCTCCCTCCAATGCACCTGAGAAGCATTAACTTCTTGGTGACTTTAAGAACCAAATCCGTTAATACAAACCTAGCTTTTCCCACAGGCACTTGAAAATATTTAGCATTTTTTCAGTTGGATGCAATTTTCATAATAAAGTAGCTCACTCGGCTACCTGACACCACAGACAAAGACGCTGAGTGAGCAGCTCCTGCCAACTTAGAGCATGAGTGCAACCCTCAGTTACATATTAAGTAGGCTTTGAAATATCCAATTGCTGTGACAATTCAAGTAATTTATGTATTGTATATTATTGATATATATTTTATTCATATGTATTTTATTCTGTAATGTCCAGGCACAACTCTTCTACAGCGCATGTCTTTCAATCAACCTTAATGCAGCACACAACAGATCTCACATTTATGTAACATTTAAATTCTGCCTTTTTGACCAGTTTTAGGATACCAAAGCAGCTCTTTGCTACTCTTCTGAACAGTACCAGCCCATCCCTATTCATGGTGCTCCCCATGTTCATTTCAATTTCACTGGCAAACCTTGCAGAAATGTATGGGAATGACACATATTTTGTTCTGTGCCAAAATACTCAGTCCAGTCTATCAAATCGGAAATGTTCATAGTTAACTGCATCTCTGGCAGTTTCAAGGGTATAATTTTAAACCTACAGTATATTTTGTTAAATCAAACCCTACAATGATCCTGTTTTACTTCCATCCACTTAGCCTATTAATGCAGGCTAATACTGCATGTTCTTGTGGCAGCAAAACCTAAAGTGTACCAGGAGACTCCGGTGATAGATTACATGTACATGCTGTGTCATATCCAATTAACTCAAATTGACTGTGTACTGCATTATGCTGTTAGTGCATGGAAGATCAATAAATATGGAGAAAATCCAACGAGGCGCTCTCCATTCCCATCCAATTCTAGTAGGTCTGAGACAGATCATGCTCCTATGATGTGTGTGCTGCTGCTGAAGAGGGCAGGTGGTGCATAGACACCATTCAAACTTGGCCTATTCAATCTAAACTCCTCTAACTCGCCATTCATGCATAGCAAAACACCATCTGGTCCTATTTTGCCTCCAGCAATCACAGCTGACCAAAAACGATAATAACAGCTGTTGCAAAACAAAAGCCAAACAAAGGGGGGAGGGAAAGGTTAGAATGCAGTCCAGTGCTGCAAAATACTCCATGAAGTGAGAAATGGAAAAGGAGCCATTCAAATAGGAATCCCCATTGAAAAGAGTCGTGCAAGACTCGTGGTTAAACTTGAGATATTTAATCCATCTGTCCTGCAAACCACAATGGTCAGGTGATAATATAAAATTGAGATTATGTTGCACAGAGGTATTTAAAGGCTTTTTTCTCCAAGTTAGAAACTAATGACCCTGTGTCAGCTAAAAATTAAACCTCCTTATGTTCTTTCATCATGTGTCAACCTGGGTTAATGTGAAAGTAGAATGTGGTTAACCGGGGTGATAAAGCATCTGAAACCTTGGGAAAAGAAGGGAACAGTTAAGTGCTTGTAAATGCTATGAAGGAAAACATTCTTTAAACCATGCACGACACTGAAATCATACGGATTATTGCAGTTTTCCTGTATAAATTGCATATCAAGAGATTTAAACTAACAGTTTTATTTATGACCTATGATAGCACAGTTATTCACTCAGACTTAGGGAACATGAACACAAACTTGAACAGTTTGAAACACAAGATGTTCTGCAATATGCTATTGTGGGTAATGTAAAATATAATTTTGTAGCAAGCAGGGGGATGCTCCAGTTTTTCAAGATTCGAATTTTGATATTTAAAACATACAGACCTGTTTGATGATTAATTTTTTTTTTTTTTTAGCTGCAGTAATTAAAACTATTTTTCCTGGAATTGAACATCAGTAGTTCAGCAGCTCTTAATCAAATGTGATAAAACCCAGGATTTATGAAACCATTTAATGAGTGTAATAACACCTGCTTCTCGCTGCAAATAGTTGAAAACAGACTTCAGTTGTAATTAACTCTTATCACTAGTGACATTTTTCCAACGATACTTCATAGGTCTTCAAAATGACAATTATAGAACTAATACACAATTACTGTCACATGCAGTTCAGCAATTATTTCTGAAGACATTTGTCTAAAGGTTTCAAAAACGACTATAAAATGGTTCCCTTTGTTATGTAACATTGGTTAAAACTGACACACACAAAATATCTCCCAACCAGCCTCTGTTGTGCAGACAGGCTTCCTTGCTCTTGGAATAAACACCCTCCATCCCAGACATTATTAGATATCATGCTAAGGCTATTAGGAGCATGGGTAGCTGTCAACTAACACCTATTATGAAAAGCTTCAATTTATACATGATTTTTTTCTGCTCCAAGAAATCTATAAATTTATAATTAGAATCTCTTGCTGTTCAATATTTGTACATAATAAACAGAGTACCTGAGGATGATGAAATATTGAAAGCTCAATTCTTTATGAATAAACTCACATGATTATAGTACCTCTTCCCTCAAGTCTGGCTGCAACTTTTTGGGGATCTGTATTCCATAATTTTTGGGTTGTGGTCTGAGCATGGTAGCCATACCTCAAACAGGTTTAGGATTCTGCTCAGGTTTGACACTTGCTGTTTTTAATTTTCATTTTATCATAAGCAGTTTAAGATTGTTGCCAATGGTAATTTGCAATTTTTATCAAGACCTCTTCATTATAGCTTCTGACAGGACAGATGCTGTAATTAATCATGCCAGACAACTGGGGATAGTGGTCAGACTGCACTCACAGCACAGATACTGCAGGCAAAGAAGAGAAAGAAGAAAACAAAGAAACTCTTCTGTTCAGAGCAAAAATATATGAACAGCACTAATAACACACTAGATGTGAATGTCTCCAAACCCTTCATACAAAACACCTGCTCTCTCCAACCCTGCCTCCATCATGTTCTTGTTCTATGAGAAAATAAAAGTCAGAGAGTTCAGGAGCAGCCCGAGTTTCAAAGAGCTGGAGGTTTACAGAGGGAAGCCCACAGCAGTAGCTGCGTTCACATCTGAAACTCCCAGAGAAAACCACAATTTGTGCACCTCTGAACTATTGCTGAGAGACAGGTCCACTACCCTGCTCCTGCAGATCAACCTCAGGAAGGCACCATGACTGCTTTGTGACTCCACCACCTGCTTTCTCCTTCTGAAGTTGAAGATACTCCAGAGAAGGTGCCTGGGACTCCAGCGGTGCATCCTGGTGGATACAAGAGCCGATTGCTCGCTCTGCTCCGATCAGTACCTGTTTACTCAGTATGCCTGATAAAAACCCAAAGCAGTTAAAAACATGTCCAAGAAAACGATTGCAGAAGGAAATATTTCTGGTTTTTCCATCAAAGACTTACGGCTCATCAGTTTTACTGAAATGTGTTTATTCTATAGCAAGATAAAAGCATTTATTTTAGATAAGCAAAATACAAACAACTTAATTGCTGCTATCATAACTCATAAAAAAGTATAAAACAGCATAAAAACACAATAAGCAATGTAGCAATTAATAAATCATGTTACCAGTGTTTACATTAAAGCCTCATTTATGAAAACTTTACAACACATGATATGAAAACTTACAACTTTTAAAGAAAATATTTACATTGATTATTCGGTTGTGGAGTTTCTTTTAAATATTCTACTGGTTTTACAGCGTATTAATAACTCTTGCATTTCTTGTCTTAGCTTTCTGTAATAACAGTTCTATTTAAGTGCATTTCCCTTTTAAAAATACAGTGTATTAAATCTGAAACTCATCACTTCGACACAGAATATAATATTCACATTTGTTCTGTAATTCAATTAACGTAAGAGGGTAAATGTCAATATATATTTTCTTACAAACTATGGCAGGTTTATTTGGAGAAATGAAGTGAAAGGTTGGGTCAAACATTTAAGTCCACTTACTTGCATCTGTTTTTCTGAAGACATTTAGGAGAGAAAAAAAAGTAAGAGCTTTGGCAAAAATCTGTGATTTACTCTATTTTTTCATGACAAAAAATGCCATCAACTAACTCATGTCATACAAGTACGATTGTATGAAATCCAATCATCATTTTACAGGTAGTTACAACTGTGCTTTAAGGGCTTCATGAGTTCATACTGCCTTGAAGTGCATTATTCACTTTTAGAGAAACAAGGGTTATAGCATATAACTCTGAAAGGCCATTTTGCAGTCATAAGGTCCAGGTATTTATTAGGCCAGTTGATTCACATATTGTAGGTAAAGCTTAAATAAATTAAAAAGGCATCACATGAAAAACAGCTTTTCTTTTTTAAACAAAATGATTTATAGTCAGCTAAAAGATGATACACAGCTACATTGTAGTTCTTTATTGCCTATCTAATAGACAGTTTAGAGGATCATTTGATCTGTTATGCATCCCTGCATAACTACCATCAACAATTTACAGTTTTCAGCCAAATATGGTTTACCCCTACCCCCTCCATCAACACAAAGCCATGTTGCAAGACCACTTATCTTCAGAAAATACTGACCTGCGATAATACTTGAGTCTGTGTCTGAGATTGTATTTGCGACTGGTGCTGCTGAGGTGCTGGCTGAGGGCTCCCAATGGCCGGGATGGGAGACGTGATCTGCGAGGCTCCGGGAGAATGCTGCTGAGGAGAAGGCTGCGACTGGTGTTGCATATGCTGCATTTGCTGCTGCTGCATTTGCTGCTGCTGCATTTGCTGAAGCTGTATGTGCTGCAGCTGCTGTTGCATTTGCTGTTGATTGATCTGCTGCTGAAGATGCTGCTGCTGCTGCTGCAAATGTTGCTGCATGTGGTGCTGAAAATGCTGCTGCTGCATTTGCTGTTGTATTTGCTGATGCATTTGATGCTGATGTAGTTGCTGCTGCTGCATGTGCTGCATCTGTTGCTGCTGGAGCTGCTGTAAATGCTGCTGCTGGCTTTGCATCGAGGGACTGACTTGAGACGAAGACGGCGTTGCCACCATATTTGTTCCCATAGAGCTCATCAGTGGAGCTGCAATGTTTGTTGGCATGTTTGGTGCAACCGTAACAGAAGCTACAATCTGGTTCATTGGCAGTCTCATGGTCAAGGGTTTTGGAGCAATCGCTCTGGGAAGGGGCTGTTGAAGAGTTTGAGGAGATACAGATACCGTTGCGTGTTGAGAAAGAGAAGTATTCAGAATAAGAGAGGAAGACAAATTTGTGGATGCCAGCGTTTGCTGAACAGAACGAATTGTCTGGGCCTCAGCAGATTCTGCAGCAGCCTGTGTTTGGAAAAGAAAATAATTGTCTTTTCAACAGAAAAAAACCCCATTGTTACTGTTTATATGCAAATAAAAGTAACAGCTTCTCTGGGAAACTTCATCATGTTTTGTTTTCTGTCAGAAAAGATCAATATACAGCCTGAAAACAATCACTGATCCACCAATCCATTACCTCACCTCTTTATCTGTTTTTCTATATGGTACCTCCAGTTCTTACTTGGACAAAAAAACAAACTTGTGCCCTTTCAACACCAGAAAGTCACAGATGCTTCATACATTTTGTTGCTGAGTTAGAAATGGCACAACTTAGGACTGGGAAAATAAAATCCCTCAAGGATATTTAGAATTCCTACTGCCAATGTACTCAGCATTGTAATACGAAATGCTTTTAGAATATTATCTAAGTCCCAGAGGGAACAGAAAAACACAGCTTCTTAACACAAGGAGAAGAAATCTTTCAGCTTCCAAAAACACACATATGTAATTTCTGCTGTTGTACGTTCAATCATTAATTAAAATACACAGCAACTTTCTGTATGATTTACTAATGTTCTGCAGTTGCACATTCAAATAAATATTCTCAGGAGTTAGACATCATCACCCTCTGTTGCTTTCTTCTCATTGAATATATTTTTGAAATTAATCTTCATGAAATATTATTAGAGAAATAACCACTTTGGTAATGCTTTACCTGTATTTTAGAATATTTCCATTTACAATATTCAGATACAACAGATCTACAGCCCACATAGTGCTGCCAGCTAGAAAGGTAAATTCTCAAATAAGACAGCAGAGCTTTGTTTTCTTCACAAGTTTTATTTTAACTCAGGATCCACTAAAATACTCCATGTGGCTCAGTGCCAGTCTGTTTGTAAGTACCCTCCAAATTCAGAGCCACCACGCATTTTTTACCCCTCACCTGCAAGAAATGCTTAATTTGTCACACAACAACTGACCTCCAGCTCCACGCAAAGCAAGCCTGTCTTTTGAGAAGCAGCACTTGAGGAAAAACAAACCTCTGCAAATAGCTTGCAAACGTTAATGTAAAAAGGTCAGTATATTTTTCATGACTGAATTTTACTTTTGTAGTGAAGTGCATTACTTTGCCTCCATAGCTCAAGGAAGATGTGCATTTACAAAGGTATTTTTTTGGTAACTGTTATTATGCAAGCAGAGAGATGAAATTATTTTTGCAGAGACTAAGCAGGGTTCAAGCAGCAGCAGTACATTTTGTAGAGCTGTATTACAGGAACCCTAGGATGCTACTTTCATTTTGCATATCATCTCCCCCCCCCAGATATTTAAACAGCATTGCCAAAATCTCACTTGCATTACACTGAGGGCATTATTAGGCTTACCTTAGAAACAAGGCTTGCTCTATAGGCAGCAAGTGCCTTTAGGTATTCTTTTTTGGCAGCTTCAGTTTTTCTTTTATATACCTATTAAAAACAGACCACAATATTATCAACTTCATCTAATAAGATGTTTTTGCCAGAATGCTCTCAAAATCACTTGCAAAGAAACAAAAACACACAGACCAAAACCCCTGAAAACATTCTACTGTTAGATGTGCTTTTTCTTCCTTGAAAATTCTAAATATTCTTGCAGATGGCAAAAAGATTTCAGCTCTACTTGCTGGACCTGCACTACAATTTATGTCAATTATCATGAATAACAAAAGGCTGATGTTTGATATCAGTCTGAGCAGTCAACTGTTTTACAAGACTAGCTATGCACACTTTACCTCCCTAGAAAATGGTATTTTAATGACACTAAGTAAAAGGGATATTAGTACACTGAGTATTTCAGATGACAAAATGCATCAGCAGTAGTATACAATGTCTATGCATTTTTTTCCCAAACAAATATCTGACCTACACATAAAAAAATCTGTATAGCTTTATAAAAAGGTGTTCAATGAGCTTGGACTTGCCCCATGCCCAGCATGAGAGAATCATACTGAGTTAAACAAGAACAGTTAGGCAAAAATGAATAAATCTGTATTTTCAATCACCAATAACTTTAAAGTCCACCTTTAAATGATGTTTAAGGACATCTGCTAGATCATACCACAAGTTTCCAAATGTATTTCAGAAACAAGTACCATTCATCTCTTGCCAAAAGGTATCCTATTTGGGAAGCTACTCTTCCACTGAAGCTTTTATTAACTGTTACTGGGAGCTGAATGGAATATCAACAGGCCAACAAAGATTATCTTTTTTTAAACTCCTTCAATCTGTGTGCAGAAGTTACACGTGTATAAGAAGAAGAATAACTCTCAAGGAAGTACAGAACTCATCATTCTGTACCAAGTTTGAGTTGGAGATAGCATTTCACACACAACATTGTAATGAGACACAGAGGATTGGCTTCAAAGGTTGGAAATCAACACGCTTTGTAACAAATTCATAAGGCAGATCAAAGGAAAATGGTAAATATGCTGTACCTTCTTTTCTAACTTGTTAATAGAAAACAGGAGCTTTGAAATAGGAATCATCAAAAGATGGTTTTAAGAGGAGTCTAGGACACTATCACCTAAGCTCTTATACAAACTGCTCTCTAAAATTTAAAGACAAATAAAGTCACTTAACACTACCTATTGACTCTTACAAAAAATAATTTCTAGATGCCAGGTCTTCAGGAAGTTCAAAAATCAGTGTAGCTCTACAGAGGGGAAAGCAGCACAGTTTACTCAGAGTAGAGGTAAGAGGATTTTTTACAAGGATTGCAATATTCCTTCCTGTGAGACAACCCTGAATCAATTTCTTACCTGTTTTTGTTCTTCTCCTAAACTGTCCCACATAGATGCCACTATTTTGGAAACATCTCCAAATGTAGCATTCGGGTTCTGCCCTTTAATTGCAGCTTGTGTATCCCTGAAGAAAAGGGCATATGCTGACACTGGCTTTTGTGGCTCATTGGGGTCTTTCTTTTTCTTCTTCTTTGGAGTCTTGGGCTTTTTGCCAGAATCCGGGGCAGCTCTTTTTTCTCCAGTAGCCTAAGAATCAGTAAGAACAATAACAGTCAATATATGCATTAAGCCAGATTATTACAAAAAATTACTGACAGTCAGCCTTAATAATATACAGAGAAAGCTACTATGTATGCAACTTGCAAGAGTCCTGTTGTGCAAGCCACTCTCTTACCAAATAGTTCTTAGTCCCAGCCTAATCTCACTGGATCTACTAGAACTAAATGCATGAATATTTACTACTCATTTTAAGTATGGCTCAGAGACTCAAATCCTATGAACTTGGCCTGAAAAAGTACACCCCAATGCTAATTTGTATTTTAAAAATACTGCTTAAATTATAGTAAATTTTGAATAGGCCATCTACGTTTTTCCATTAAAATGTAATTGCAGCAGCAGAGACTCCAAAAACAAGAGCTTGGAGGCATCTCCCAGTTCCAAGACTTAGACTATCAACTTAGGCATGGGTCAGGGATTAAAAAAACCCCTACCTTTCAGGCAAAATGCAGAAGCAACTTGGCAGTGTTTATGCCCCTGCAGTGAGCACTGGCTGTGTCCCCGCCATACCCTGGTGCTGGAGGCCCCGTGCTATGGCCAGGCACTGGCCCAGCACCAACAGCCCCCTTTCCCCTCTGGGACAAGGAGCTCACCAGCAGCACATTCAGGGTTACAGCAACTGCTATAACAACATTTGTACTTCATTTGTTGATAAAATTTTCCTTTTATAACAAATTTATTTAAAGCAAAGTGTAACTTAACTAAACTTTCAGTTAGAAGAAAGCTTTTTTTATTTCTGTCTAAAAGCATCTATGTTTTACATGACTCGAGAGAATACCAAAATGACAAAACTGTCCAAAGTTGACAAGTGAAGAAATTCACCAGATCTGAAAACCTGAAGCGAATTAGATCAAATATATATATACATACGTGTGTGTGAGTGTGTATAAGTCTATTCTTAGGTTTATTATTATGGAGGTAGTATGAAAACTTACTAAGTAAAGAAGCTGACCAGCAAGTTAATCATATTTCACTATACTGTGACATTTGTACTTTATGAGTGCATTGCAGCTGAGCTGATACCACCACATCCATGAAAATACAGCACACAGAAGTGTGAAACTTGCTCACTACAGCACATGGAATAACTTACTCTATTTGATTCATCTGCATCTTCTTCATTGATAGAGCTGGATGGGGAAGGAGTGGCTGATTTACTTGCAGGAGGGGAGGGAGAAGTGTGTGGCAAATTAGTGCCTCCTAAATTTAGCCCCAGCTGTGCACTTAGCTGAGACTGGTTAATGGTGGTGAGCTGAGACGGAGGCATAATCCCGGAATGAGCAGCATCAGTCATATGGACAATAGATCTCATAATCAGAGAGTGATCCTGGCGGTACTGGGAAACTTGTGTGTGACTCTGATCCTAAAAGAGATTGAAATGTTATTAAGTCATTAGCAGTTACTATACAGCAGTATTGAGTAAAGTTATTTTCACAGCCTTACAGAACCAACACGGTCAAAGTGCAGTTTGCTTCCTTTATTTTTAATGAATTAAATGCATTTTGAATAAATTAAATGCAACAACAGTTACCACAACTGCCCCAAAATTCCCTTTCCCCCCAATTGTGGTGTTGGGGTTTTTATGGTTTTTGTTTGTTTGTGGAAGAAGAATCTCCCTATTTTTAAAACATTTCTTCTCTTGATGCAGTAAGAAATACCCTCATAAGGTATCAATAGGGAAACAGACTGACTGACGATTCAGGGAAAACATTGCAACTGAGGAGACACAAACTGCTGTCAAATGCAGAAACAAACAAAACCAGGGCGGGGTGAGGGGATACATATAGAGAGAAAAGCATCTTTCTTTACTGACATTCAATTATTCGTAGCTCTTACAAGTAACAGTAGTAGCAGGTATAAAACAATCCTGTCTGACTGGGATTTTAAAGCTGTTTTGAACACAGAACACTGCCCTGCCAGGTCTGGAGTGCAGACACTGCAGCACACTGGAGAACCGGCCCAGTAATCCTAAACACTCCTGAAGATTCTTGTTTGCAAGCACCACATGGAACCACACAGTTTTATCTTTAATCCAACAATCAAACATGTGAGGAAGCAGCAAGCAATGTACAAATCACCTCCTTTATTTTTCTTGTACTTCATGTCTCAGAAACACAAGTGCTTGCATGGTTTGGTTTCTACTGTTTCTTGGGGGCACAAACTGCGTCTCCTACATCTGTGCAGCATTTACCACGTTTGTAAAGAAAAGGAAGCAAGACCCTGAAGGTAAAGTCAGCTGGAATCTTCCTATGACAAACTCCTTTTTTTTTTTTTTTTAACCATACACAGATCAACACACAATGAAGGAACATTTAAACAGAAAAGAAGTTGTTTTTTTTATAAGTTAATAAGAGAATAAATAGCTCACAAATTGATTCAGCAACCTGATTAATCCATAGTCATTGTTTGAACAGCCAGAAACATGAGAAATAAATTAGATTTTGAAAACTCTTTCATTATTAATAACCTACACTGCAATTAGTAGCAGGTGCAATGCTTCTTAATGAAATGACACAGAACAAAACAGCAATTGTGGGAGCCTGGTGTACAGCCCACCGGACTTCCACAACAGAGTCTGACCTTCCTGGTGCTCTCTTATTAAGTATGGATAAGCCCAAACCAGTTTTGAAAAATCTGTGTCAGCATGGAGGTAAGTTTAACTCCAGTGACTTTCCTCCTTTTACAATTCTGCCCTCAACAGAGGCAGTGGTTCTGTGCTCCTGGAAGCCTTTCCTTGCCTGGAACAAGCATGGCAATGTAAGGCCATACATGAGTTAGAGAAGGTGCACACCCTGCCTCATCCATCTTTACATCCTAGTGCTGCAGCACACTGCCCCCCTACAGTAATAAATCGTATTAATTCTGAATTTGACATTCACGTGTCTTTCCGCTGAAGCCTATGCAGAAAAAAAACCCCTTCCGTAGCATAAAAGTACACGTAGTGTTGCACCTGGATCCAGTACAGATAAAGTTAACCTCACAAACTCATGATCCTAATCCTAGGCACTAGGACTCATGCTCATTTTCCCCATGCTTTCCAAGCCATTGCCAGCTTGGCTCATAGTCCATGCCATACCACACCACACTGCTTTTCCTACTTCTTGAATTCTTTTAATATTTTCAGTGAAGGACTGTAGTTCCTTGGAGATGAGTGTGTGTGCCAAAAGTGGAGTACTTGATATAGATAGATCAAAACATCAGACTTATTGGCTGAAATACACATTTGCTTCAGGGCACCTTTCTGTGAAAATTTACTACCGTTAACTACAGGTCATTTTGATTGTGACTTGTATTGGCAGTGGCATCTGGAAGTTATTCAAGGTCTTTTGTAAAATGATATCACTCTCTGCCCATTATTCCGATAATTTTATTTTACAGACATGAGTTTATTGCAGTAATTCTGCTGTTTTTTCAGCAAAGCTGAAGATCATCAGAATAACCTCCTCTCGTAAAAATTAACTTTCTTCACTATTGTGCAGACAGTACTTCCCTGGAGGTGTTCTACCCTACAAGGCTGGCTTTTGTTCTCCTTCTATTGCTACACAATACAGGCCTTTCTGGCCTCTACATCGAGGCAGCAAAATGTGATGACATGGGTTACAAACCATTTACTCCAAGTCTTGTCATTTTGGTTGCATCTATGATTTTACTGAGTCTAAATTCTCTTGACTTGCACTGACCCAGAATCTAATTTTATACACAAGCCCATGAATTCTTAACTGTCCCTTTTTCTGACACTATTTGATGCTTCTGTGGGTTTTTTACATCCACTTAATTTCAGTGTTTCTTTTCTCTCTTTTTTCCTAATTTCTTCAGCCATTTTTTAATCTTAAAAACTTCAGTAAAAGCTAGAAGAGGCAACAAAATTTTTTTAACTCTATTTAGCATCAAACTGATAAGACATATTATATAAAAGAAAATGTTTCTTATAATTTCCAATCCCTTATAAATTACATTATATGGGCATATGAAAACAACAATGTATTTTCTGCACTTAAAAAAAACCCAAAAACAATAACAACAAAAAAAGAAAGGAATGAGAATTTCATCTTTGGGGTACAGTGTTGTGGGCCTCAACAACCTATGATACCCATGGAAGAGCTTTCAGACAAGGAAGTATAAACCGTTTCTTCTGTTTGTACAGTGGTTTGGCAAATAGCAAGAAGGCAGCAAGAAGACAGTGGATAGCAACACATATTTTTATATAGCTCCTGAGCAAACAAAAATCTTCTAAGGAGGGACCTATTATCAAGAAAACAAAATTTCCATCAATTATCTTAAATCCTATTTTTTCCCTGATACTACCAAAAACCACTAACAAACCAAAAGGATCAGTGGCATTTAATTATGAGCAAAAATGTTTATCAAAGAAATGTTTAACAACAAAAATCATCCCATGTCAGAAGTATGCATGGAAATGCAAGTGCACTGAAGCATCCACATGACATCTTAATTATATTACTATATGAAATTTTAAAACTCATGTCTACAAAATTAATCCACTGAGAATCCTGGGAGAATTTTAGAGACTATCACAATCTCTTTTACATAAACTTAACCAGAAGTAAAAGTGATACACGAGTATTAAGAGCATTCAGGATTTTTTGTAACATTAAGCAAAAAAGACAGATTAGTTCTGACAAAAATTCATGAATTTCTCAAGTAGACAGTATCAAGTTTTGATTAAGCCTGATCTGCTTTACAGTCTTAGATTGAAGTTACGCAAAACCTGATGATCTTAACACAAGTCAGGCAAAAGCTCAACCACTGGTTTACTCAGCATGACAATCAAACAAGGACATAACGTGTGAAACCAAAAACCAAAGAGAAATAATTCCCCTGCAGACTGGAATGACTTTGACTCAGATCTTTCTGTTGTCATCTTATGAGTGCTACCAAAAAAAATAAGGTATAGAGACATTTTATTGAGGGGAACTTCAGAACCAGCCTCTACTCCTCTGGTCTCTTCAGCTACAGGGCAAGGGGTAATGACTCCAAACTGAAAGTGAGTAGAGTTGGATTAGATATTAGGAAGAAGTTATTTATTGTGAGCATTGTGAGGCTCTGGAACAGGTTGCCCGGAAAAGCTCAAGACCAGTCTGGATAGGGACTGGTCTAGGGAAAGGTTTCCTGCCCATGGCAGGGAGGATTGGAACTAGATGAGCCTTAAGGTGCCTTCCAACTCAAACCATTTTACAATTCTATGATTCTAATTATATACATGGTTTAAAAAAAAAAAAAAAAAAAAAAAGGCAAAATATGGTCCAAAATATTTTCCCCTTCTCAAAACAACATTATGGTAACTGTATCTAGGCACACTCTCTTGCACAGCTCTCACCACTCTGGCCCACTTTATAAAGACATTCAGCACTTGGAGCATAGAAGGCCTCATCAAAGGAACCATAAGGATATCTGTACACCAAACTATCCTACTTTCAACTGTTCTAATTTATTTAGACCATCATGCCAGAGAAGTCACATTTATTCGAGAGGACACCTGTCTCTGGCATATAACAAATAAATAGCTTATTTTACTTTGATTTGGAAAAGAATAACTTCTCGAAAATTGATAAAATATCCATTCATCAACAGACATTGTAAAGCAAAAAACAGAGCAAAGAGATTTTAAAAAAAGGAATGTGTAAAACTCCCATACTTTGTACAGTATTATCAAAGGTGTGTTTCAACATACTATTGAGTACTAAAGGAAAAAATTATGGTAATAAAAGATAAGTTCATTCTTCTGTTAGCAACTCATTAAGCATCCAGTACTTAGCAAACCTTGTAAACAGTTAGTATTTATTTTGACAGATAAATGCATCCAGCCATTACATTGAGAGATGCCCTAATTTCCACTTAACTACCCTGTATTTTAAGAATCATTCACATACTGTAGTTTTATCCTGAACTTCTACCCTGATATAATTTTAATCTCTGGGAACATTCAACAAGATAATTAAAAATATAACTAGGAAATTACGTTTTAGAACATTGTGAGCAATATTGAAGCCTTCACTAAAATCAATGTTTACAGCCTTCCATCATTTAGACAGGCAACACCTCCAGCAAGATTCTAGCTACATCAGGACTGAGCCCATGGATATTCCTACAGGAGGATGTAGGGCTGGGATCTGACCCTACACTGCATGAGCCAGTTTAAGGGAAGTGAGAATCTGCCAACCAAAATAACTAAGCAATAACTAAGCAAACCCCAACATTTATGGTTTTGCTCACTATGCCCTGGTTTCAGAAGTTGACTTAAGCCATTATATATTCTATTGCTTGAGGAATTCATTACTGTCAATGTAACATAAGCTGATGTAATATTTTAAAGGATATATTTAAGTTGAAGTGAATGCACTG